TGTTAGTAAAGTGTAAAAGTACATTTCCTGCACTGTGATCTAAACTACTTCCCTTACAACCAATGAGGGATGATCAAGAAGAAAAATTCCACCAAAATATCAAGACCATGGTGCCTAGGTATCCAGGCAGGTAGAACGCAAACATGATGTCTGACTACTGTTGGTGTCGACAAAAGGACTGCCCAGATGCAAGTTATTTAGGACAGGAAAAAGAAAGTTCACTCCATGAGTAGCTCAAACTATAGTTTGACAGAAATATCTCTACTAGGATATGCAATTAAATCTATTATATTTGTTAAACGATAAAAATACTATTTGATTTGCGTTAGTTTCTTGTGTCAGTATTGCATTTAATTGCGAATTTGACATTTTTCGGTAAAAAATGAATTCTTCTTTAACTATCCTCATGAGTTTTAAGGGTCGCAAGGTCGGTAGATTTTGGATATTTTTCATGTGTACCTTCTGAAAAAATACACAGAATCTACCAACCTTGCCACCCTTAAAACGCATGAAGACAGTTATGTATGTAAACTATTAAATTCCCGCCCCGGAAAAATGAACAAAATGGCAGGAGAGTTCCATAAGAATTATACTAAGCTGTTTGATTAATTTCTCTTAATCAACTAACGAAAAATTCCAAGATGAGAAACATCGCCATCATATTACACACATTTCAGTTGCATGCCGTTCACGCTGGCGTTGTTTCATTAGATTTGACACGTTTTTCAAGACAAGCGATGTTGGTGCAAAATTTATAATTTTTGTAGATTTTTAAATATTTTTATACTTGTAAAATCTTTTAAACCATAACTTGAAGAAGATAGAGACGCCATCGAAATATTGTTCAGCATTCTTAAACACTATCTATTCTTTATCTTAAATCACGCTCTTATCTAAATATTATTATTAATTCTTTTCCCAGATTTCCTGTTTAATATAATCCGTTACCTAGTCTATTACATGGGACAAAGTTTTTTTCTTATAAGGCCCATTACATTGTGAAAGATTTTCTGAGTATGTCAGTGGTGTTTATAATCCCAATCCTTTGTATCTCAGTGTTGGATTTTCTGAATGCATTTATTAGCATTTCTTTTTAATCATTCCCAGTGCTCATATTATTGTTGGGATACTGCTTATATTTAAATTGGACATTCTTATGGTTTTTCTTTTCAGAACGTTATATTTGGAAAGTTTGTAGAATTCTTCTGATGAGATGATAGCATTATTATTATTTCACCAAAATAACTTCTCTCGTTTTCCAGGATCTTACTTGAAATCTTTCAATTAAATGATGTATTATGACATAAGAGAAAGAGTTTTGATTCAATGAATTATTTAATGGTTTTTAAAAAATATCTTGAAATTGTTGAAATCGCAAACAAGACAAAGAGAGTTACAAGGAGCAAAAACTTGAGAATCTGAAGGGGATATATGTATGGAATACATTTCATGTCAAAGAACTTCCCATTCACGTTCCATAATAGTTTTGCTGTGTCGTATTAGTAACATAAGTATTGACCTAAGGCAAATTTATTGAATACGTACCAGTCCTTTATATATTATTAACAAATGGCGTTTACAACATTAGCGGTGATATTTAATTTGCATAACAATATTTTAATAAATATTCCTTCGCGTTATTTATTTTTAATTCAAAATTTTAAAACTACCATATACACACAGTGTTTCTGTCGATAAAGTTTTATTTTTTTTAGATTCAACGTGTTTGCATAAAAATAATTTATATTTGCCGTGTTAAAATTCAGTCGTAAATTAGAAAATGTACAGCTTTCACAATAAGCATTGTTGTCGCCTGTTCTTTCACATTATTACAAATGAGCCAAATGTGACTGAAAATAAACTAATGGAAATTTATAGATAAGTAAAAATAATAAGTTTAATTAGATTTTTTTAAAACAGTAGCGAAATATTTAAACAAGTGAAAAATGCTGACTTTATTTTTATTATCATTATAAGTATAAAAATTAAAATATTATTAAAATATTTCTCTTGTGGTCAGGTCTATGTGGCAATGAACGGAGTAGAAATTTCACGCATAAGAAAATAGGTGTCTTGCTGAAAATGTTGTTTATGCAGAAATTTTAGAAAGGCAAGAGAACTACAGTGTCAGTATAACTTTTCTCTCTAGGTCGGGTATTTGAGTGGTTTTCATAAATTAATTTAAACCCATTTGGTTAGCTTCTGATTTTCCCCCAAGGCTTGTTTACGATATATTAAACTCGGCTCTCCGATTTCCAAGTCCTAGCCGTTATTCATTACACCAGCCACACATCAATGCTTGCAGCAACTGGTATTCCCAAGTGGTCGCTCCTCTATAGACTGACCAGGTTCGACGTTGCATAACTTCGATGATCATCCGGAACCACTGTTTCAACATGATATGGCCGTAAGCTGTACAAAATATAGTGCATCCACCTTGTAATAAGCTTAGCAACTTAGTTTGTCCAAAGAGTTTTCAGTTCACTTCAAGAGAGTGGCCTGCGAGATGGGTCATAATTCAGCTGAAGACATCCAATTCTGGATTTTGATATATTTTTTTGATATTTACCAGGCCTAATACGAAGGAAATTGAAGTTAAAAACAGATTTTATTGCGCCACGGTTTGAAATAAGGAAATTGCTTTGTCTTGCAATAATTCGAAATCCTGGCAGTTAATTTAGCTATAAAACATCCATAGATACTAGAGAGAGAGAGAGAGAGACAGACAGAGACAGACAGACAGACAGAGGGGGGAGAGACAGACAGACAGAGAGGGAGGGAGAGAGAGACAGAGATACAGAGAGAGACACAAAGAGAGAGAGAGAGAGAGAGAGAGCGAGAGAGAGACAGAGAGAGAGATAGAGAGAGAGAGAGAGAGAGAGAGAGAGAGTGGTGGAGGTTTCTGTACTTATTAGGATTTTAGAAAGTGTTTCATTTTCTCGTGTTCAAAGTTTTCAATATCTATTGTGTAAAATTTCCAGCGAAAAACTGTTTTTCCACCGTATTTTACGTGTCGAGTTTCCAAAACTTGAGCCAGGAACTTTTGCACATAGTTAATACTAAACTTAGATTATCTATCTATATTTGTGAGATGAGGTATTGTAACTATTTACACTGTTTACATTGTTCGAACCCTTTATTTCGTACACCGGGGTAGATAGTTCTAGTTCCATGTGCCATGCCTCTTTCGGATATTTTAGTTTCAGTTATTTCCTTTTAGTAACTTAAGTCTCTAAGTTTTTGTTCACCTCTGCTGTGACCAGATATCGAACTCACAACTCTTTGGGTCAAGCCACTGGATTACTTCAACACATGGCCCGGTGGATAAAAGCGTTGGTTAAAGTAAATCCAGTGACTTGGCCCAAAGAGTTGTGAGTTCAATACCTGGCCATAGCAGAGGTGAACAATGACTTGGAGAATAGAGTTAAAGGGAAATAACTGAAACTTAGATAGCCGGAAGAGACATGACACGTGGAACTAGAACAATATACCATAGTAGACAAAATAAAGGGCTCGAACAATGTAAACAGCGTAAATAGTTACAATACCTCATCTCACAAATATAGATAGATAATCTAAGTTTAATATTAGCTGTGTGCAAAAGTTCCTGGCAGAATTTTGGAAATTCGACACGGAAAATACGGTTGAAAAACAGTTTTACGCTGGAAATTTTTCGGTTCGAAATTCCAATCAGTTGTAGAAGTCCGAAGCGTACAACGGTCGAAATGTCGTGAATATGACAACAAAGATGAAGACAACAGTCCAAACAATGTAAATAGTGTAGATGATTCATCTATCACAAGGTCAATCAAGTGGAATTAGGAATAAGAAAATCGTGATCCGTCAAGTGATTTGACTCGAACATTAGTCTCTGGTAACAGTGAGTAATACAATAAATATCTCAGCGACAAGACAGGCTTCTTGAAATGCATTTACTGGAATTTCGGTTTTGTTTCTTTTTTCCCCAATTCCATTGTTTAAAGTTTTTATTATGTTCATAAATCTGGCCGTTCATTTACTTTATTAAGAGAAAATTACGCTGTTGCTTTTCCAAGGAATAATCATGACATGTTTTGAGCGAACATTCTGCAGCAATAATTCTTCTGATTGTTTTGCCTAATTTCAGAGAATAGAAAATTAATGGAAACGGATAGAACAAAATCTGCAATTAATTCGTCACTGAGATTTGACAAAGGAGCAACAAAGCGTAATACTTCTTTTGTTCGTTTGGCTTTGTTTTGGCGCAAATGTTTTATTTTTTTTGCCCAAATTGTTATTCTCTGTGAATTGCTAAAAATTCCATTGAATTTGGGAAGACGTAAAAAATTAAAAAAGAAAAACAAAAACAAAAAACAAACAAAAAAACTAGTTCACGAGGATTTAAACGCTGGATGAAAAGGAGAAACATTTTCTAAAATTTATTTATCGTATTATTTACTGTTTGAATTTCTGAAATTAGAAATTATCATTTAAAGCTAATCGCTCCGGACGAATGTTCTCATCTTAGATTTTACACACACATAGATTCGACACTTTAGTCTAGTTTATGAATGTGTCACGTTGTATAACCAGTTTTCGTCTGATCAAGGAAGTTAAACAACGTTGATCCTGGTTAGTACCTAGATGGGTGACCGTTTGAAAATAATAGATGCTCTAAATATGGATGTGTGGGTGGTGCGATGGATAACGGCTTGGAATAAGAAATCGGTTACATTCACTTGGTAAAGGTATGAATTCATTATCTACTCAGCTATGGGTTAATTAATAGAAGTTGTTGCAAGAAAAATCATTGTTACCCTTAAAAGATTTTATGACACAACATCCACTCACAAGAAAAAAGAAATATTCTTACAATCCAAAATATGTTTTAGTTTTAAATAACACACTAAGGTAGGGGGAAGCCGTAAAAAACAATCAATTTTCTTTCCACTTTATTTTGCTATTTAATCTAGGAGTTCCTTATATTATTACGCTAATCAAAACCTAGTAGATTGTTCCAAATGACGACGAGAGAACAGCATTCGAGTTTTAATTTTTTTCATTTTCAACAAAGGTGTTTTGTTCAGTCATTCCTATATCGTTCATTACACAAAGGTCTTTTCTGTGGTACGGATTGTTCAGTCATTCCTCTGACGTTCATTACACAAAGGTCTTTTGTGTTGTACGGATTGTCCAGTCATTCCTCTATCGTTCATTACACAAAGGTCTTTTCTGTGGTACGGATCGTCCAGTCATTCCTCTATCGTTCATTACACAAAGGTCTTTTCTGTGGTACGGATCGTCCAGTCATTCCTCTATCGTTCATTACACAAAGGTCTTTTCTGTGGTACGGATTGTTCAGTCATTCCTCTATCGTTCATTACACAAAGGTCTTTTCTGTGGTACGGATTGTTCAGTCATTCCTCTGACGTTCATTACAAGGTCTTTTCTGTGGTACGGATTGTTCAGTCATTCCTCTATCGTTCATTACACACAAAGGTCTTTTTCTGTGGTACGGATTGTTCAGTCATTCCTCTGACGTTCATTACACAAAGGTCTTTTTTCTGTGGTACGGATCGTTCATTCATTTCTTTTCTGACGTCCAGTCATTTTATCGTTCACACAAAGGTGTTTTTCTGTGGTATGGATTGTTCAGTCATTCCTCTATCGTTCATTACACAAGGTCTTTTCTGTGGTACGATTGTTCAGTCATTCCTCTGACGTTCATTACACCAAAGGTCTTTGTGTTGTACGGAAAGGTCTTTTCTGTGGTACGGATTGTTCAGTCATTCCTCTATCGTTCATTACACAAAGGTCTTTTCTGTGGTACGGATTGTCCAGTCATTCCTCTGACGTTCATTACACAAAGGTGTTTTCTGTGGTACGGATTGTTCAGTCATTCCTCTATTGTTCATTACACAAAGGTCTTTTCTGTGGTACGGATTGTTCAGTCATTCCTCTATCGTTCATTACAACTGTGGTAAAGGTCTTTTCTGTGGTACGGATTGTCCAGTCATTCCTCTATCGTTCATTACACAAAAGGTGTTTCCTGTGGTACGGAATGTTCAGTCATTCCTCTATCGTTCATTACACAAATGTCTTTTCTGTGGTACGGATTGTTCAGTCATTCCTCTGACGTTCATTACACAAAGGTCTTTTCTGTGGTACGGATTGTCCAGTCATTCCTCTATCGTTCATTACACAAAAAGGTCTTTTCTGTTCATTCCTCTATCGTTCACAAACGGATCGTGTCATTTTTCTGTGGTACGGATTGTTCAGTCATTCCTCTATCGTTCATTACACAAAGGTGTTTTCTGTGGTACGGATTGTTCAGTCATTCCTCTGACGTTCATTACACAAAGGTGTTTTCTGTGGTACGGATTGTTCAGTCATTTCTCTGACGTTCTTTACACAAAGGTGTTTTCTGTGGTATGGATTGTTCAGTCATTCCTCTATCGTTCATTACACAAAGGTCTTTTCTGTGGTACGGATTGTTCAGTCATTCCTCTATCGTTCATTACACAAAGGTCTTTTCTGTGGTACGGATTGTCCAGTCATTCCTCTGACGTTCATTACACAAAGGTGTTTTCTGTGGTACGGATTGTTCAGTCATTCCTCTATTGTTCATTACACAAAGATGTTTTCTGTGGTATGGATTGTTCAGTCATACCTCTATCGTTCATTACACAAAGGTCTTTTCTGTGGTACGGATTGTCCAGTCATTCCTCTGACGTTCATTACACAAAGGTGTTTTCTGTGGTACGGATTTTTCAGTCATTCCTCTATTGTTCATTGCACAAAGATGTTTTCTGTGGTACGGATTGTTCAGTCATTCCTCTATCGTTCATTACACAAAGGTGTTTTCTGTGGTACGGATTGTTCAGTCATTCCTCTATCGTTCATTACACAAAGGTGTTTTCTGTGGTACGGATTGTTCAGTCATTCCTCTATCGTTCATTACACAAACTGTTTTCTGTGGTAGGGATTGCTTAGTCATTCCTCTGACGTTCTTTATAAAAGGTGTTTTCTGTGGTACGGATTGTTCAGTCATTCCTCTATCGATTTTTTCATTGCTTAGTCATTCCTCTGACGTTCAAAGGTGTTTTCTGTGGTACGGATTGTGCAGTCATTCCTCTGACGTTCTTTATACAAAGGTGTTTTCTGTGGTACGGATTGTTCAGTCATTTCTCTGACGTTCTTTACACAAATGTGTTTTCTGTGGTATGGATTGTTCAGTCATTCCTCTATCGTTCATTACACAAAGGTGTTTTCTGTGGTACGGATTGTTCAGTCATTCCTCTATCGTTCATTACACAAAGGTGTTTTCTGTGGTACGGATTGTCCAGTCATTCCTCTGACGTTCATTACACAAAGGTGTTTTTCTGTGGTACGGATTGTTCAGTCATTCTGACGTTCTTTACACAAATGTGTTTTATGTGGTATGGATTGTTCAGTCATTCCTCTATCGTTCATTTTCTGTGGTATGGATTGTTCAGTCATTCCTCTATCGTTCATTATAAAAGGTTTTTCTGTGGTACGGATTGTTCAGTCATTCCTCTGACGTTCATTACACAAAGGTGTTTTTCTGTGGTACGGATTTTCAGTCATTCCTCTATTGTTCATTGCACAAAGATGTTTTCTGTGGTACGGATTGTTCAGTCATTCCTCTATCGTTCATTACAAAAGTGTTTTCACGGAAAGGTCTATCGTTTTTCTGTGGTACGGATTGTTCAGTCATTCCTCTCGACGTTTTTCTTTATCGTTCATTACAAAAGGTGTTTTCTGTGGTACGGATTGTTCAGTCATTCCTCTATCGTTCATTACACAAAGGTGTTTTCTGTGGTACGGATTGTGCAGTCATTCCTCTGACGTTCTTTATACAAAGGTGTTTTCTTTGGTACGGATTGTTCAGTCATTCCTCTATCGTTCATTACACAAACTGTTTTTCTGTGGTGGGAAAGGTCTTTTCTGTTTTTCTGTGGTACGGATTGTTCAGTCATTCCTCTGACGTTCATTACCATTAAAGGTGTTTTTGTGGTACGGATTGTTCAGTCATTCCTCTATCGTTCATTACACAAAGGTGTTTTCTGTGGTACGGATTGTTCAGTCATTCCTCTATCGTTCATTTCAAAAGGTCTTTTCTGTGGTACGGATTGTTCAGTCATTCCTCTATCGTTCATTACACAAAGGTGTTTTTCTGTGGTACGGATTGTTCAGTCATTCCTCTGACGTTCATTACACAAAGGTGTTTTCTGTGGTATGGATTGTTCAGTCATTTTTCTATCGTTCATTACACAAAGGTGTTTTCTGTGGTATGGATTGTTCAGTCATTCCTCTATCGTTCATTACACAAAGGTGTTTTCTGTGGTACGGATTGTTCAGTCATTCCTCTGACGTTCATTACACAAAGGTGTTTTTGTGGTACGGAAGTCATTCCTCTGACGTTGTTTTCAAAGGTGTTTTGGTACGGATTGTTCAGTCATTCCTCTATCGTTCATTACACAAAAGGTGTTTTCTGTGGTACGGATTGTTCAGTCAAGTTCATTTTGTTTTCTGTGGTACGGATTGTTCAGTCATTCCTCTGACGTTCTTTAGGTGTTTTCTGTAAAAGGTGTCATTTTCTGTGGTACGGATAGTTCAGTCATTCCTCTGACGTTTATTACACAAAGGTGTTTTCTGTGGTACGGATTGTTCAGTCATTCCTCTGACGTTCATTACACAAAGGTGTTTTCTGTGGTATGGATTGTTCAGTCATTCATCTATCGTTCATTACACAAAGGTGTTTTCTGTGGGGGATTGGATTGTTCTTTATAAAATTCCTCTATCGTTCATTCCTCTATCGTTCAAAGGTCTTTTTTCTGTGGTACGGATTGTTCAGTCATTCCTCTATCGTTCATTACACAAAGGTCTTTTCTGTGGTACGGATTGTTCAGTCATTACTCTGACGTTCATTACACAAAGGTGTTTTCTGTGGTATGGATTGTTCAGTCATTCCTCTATCGTTCATTACACAAAGGTGTTTTCTGTGATATGGATTGTTCAGTCATTCCTCTATCGTTCATTACACAAAGGTGTTTTCTGTGGTACGGATTGTTCAGTCATTCCTCTGACGTTCTTTATACAAAGGTGTTTTCTGTGGTACGGATTATTTAGTCATTCCTCTGACGTTCATTACACAAAGGTGTTTTCTGTGGTATGGATTCGTTCATTACACTTAGTCATTCCTCTGGTGTTTTTCCTATGGATTATCGTTCATTACACAAGGTCTTTTCTGTGGTACGGATTGTTCAGTCATTCCTCTATCGTTCATTTCACAAGTGTTTTTTTCCTCTGATTGTTCATTTCTGACGTTCTTTATAAAGGTTTTTTCTGTGGTATGGATTGTTCAGTCATTCCTCTATCGTTCATTACTGTGGTACGGAAAGGTTCTTTATACAAAGGTGTTTTCTGTGGTACGGATTGTTCAGTCATTCCTCTGACGTTCTTTACAAAAGGTGTTTTCTGTGGTATGGATTGTTCAGTCATTCCTCTATCGTTCATTACACAAAGGTGTTTTCTGTGGTAGGGATTGTTCAGTCATTCCTCTATCGTTCATTACACAGTCATTCCTCTGACGTTCTTTTACAAAGGTGTTTTCTGTGGTACGGATTGTTCAGTCATTCCTCTTGTTCATTACACAAAAGATGTTTTCTGTGGTATGGATTTTCAGTCATTCCTCTATCGTTCATTACACAAAGGTCCAGTCATTCTTTTCATTGGTAAGGTGTTTTCTGTGGTACGGATTGTTCAGTCATTCCTCAATCGTTCATTACACAAAGGTCTTTTTCTGTGGTACGGATTGTTCAGTCATTCCTCAAAGGTTTTTTCGTTCATTACACAAAGGTCATTTTTCTGTGGTACGGATTGTTCAGTCATTTCTCTATCGTTCATTACACAAAGGTGTTTTCTGTGGTACGGATTGTTCAGTCATTCCTCTATCGTTCATTACACAAAGGTGTTTTCTGTGGTACGGATTGTTCAGTCATTCCTCTGACGTTCTTTATACAAAGGTGTTTTCTGTGGTACGGATTGTTCAGTCATTCCTCTATCGTTCATTACACAAAGGTGTTTTCTGTGGTACGGATTGTTCAGTCATTCCTCTGACGTTCATTACACAAAGGTGTTTTCTGTGGTATGGATTGTTCAGTCATTCCTCTATCGTTCATTACACAAAGGTGTTTTCTGTGGTACGGATTGTTCAGTCATTCCTCTATCGTTCATTACACAAAGGTCTTTTCTGTGGTACGGATTGTTCAGTCATTCCTCTATCGTTGATTACACAAAAGGTCTTTTCTGTGGTACGGATTGTTCAGTCATTCCTCTGACGTTCATTACACAAAGGTGTTTTCTGTGGTATGGATTGTTCAGTCATTCCTCTATCGTTCATTACACAAAAAGGTGTTTTCTGTGATATGGATTGTTCAGTCATTCCTCTATCGTTCATTACACAAAGGTGTTTTCTGTGGTACGGATTGTTCAGTCATTCCTCTGATGTTCTTTATACAAAGGTGTTTTCTGTGGTATGGATTGTTCAGTCATTCCTCTATCGTTCATTACACAAAGGTCTTTTTCTGTGGTACGGATTGTTCAGTCATTCCTCTGACGTTCATTTTACAAAGGTGTTTTCTGTGGTATGGATTGTTCAGTCATTCCTCTATCGTTCATTACACAAATTGTTCAGTCATTCCTCTGACGTCTTTTCTGTGGTATGGATTGTTCAGTCATTCCTCTATCGTTCATTACACAACGGATTGGTCTTTTCTGTGTTACGGATTTTTCAGTCATTCCTCTGACGTTCATTACACAAAGGTGTGTTTTTCAGTGGTACGGATTGTTCAGTCATTCCTCTATCGTTCATTACACAAAGGTGTTTTCTGTGGTACGGATTGTTCAGTCATTCCTCTATCGTTCATTACACAAAGGTCTTTTCTGTGGTACGGATTGTTCAGTCATTCCTCTATCGTTCATTACACAAAGGTCTTTTCTGTGGTACGGATTGTTCAGTCATTCCTCTGACGTTCATTACACAAAGGTCTTTTCTGTGGTACGGATTGTTCAGTCATTCCTCTATCGTTCATTACACAAAGATGTTTTCTGTGGTACGGATTGTCCAGTCATTCCTCTGACGTTCATTACACAAAGGTGTTTTCTGTGGTACGGATTGTTCAGTCATTCCTCTGACGTTCATTACACAAAGGTGTTTTCTGTGGTATGGATTGTTCAGTCATTCCTCTATCGTTCATTACACAAAGGTGTTTTCTGTGGTACGGATTGTTCAGTCATTCCTCTGACGTTCATTACACAAAGGTATTTTCTGTGGTATGGATTGTTCAGTCATTCCTCTATCGTTCATTACACAAAGGTGTTTTCTGTGGTACGGATTGTTCAGTCATTCCTCTATCGTTCATTACACAAAGGTCTTTTCTGTGGTACGGATTGTTCAGTCATTCCTCTATCGTTGATTACACAAAGGTCTTTTCTGTGGTACGGATTGTTCAGTCATTACTCTGACGTTCATTACACAAAGGTGTTTTCTGTGGTATGGATTGTTCAGTCATTCCTCTATCGTTCATTACACAAAGGTGTTTTCTGTGATATGGATTGTTCAGTCATTCCTCTATCGTTCATTACACAAAGGTGTTTTCTGTGGTACGGATTGTTCAGTCATTCCTCTGATGTTCTTTATACAAAGGTGTTTTCTGTGGTATGGATTGTTCAGTCATTCCTCTATCGTTCATTACACAAAGGTCTTTTCTGTGGTACGGATTGTTCAGTCATTCCTCTGACGTTCATTTTACAAAGGTGTTTTCTGTGGTATGGATTGTTCAGTCATTCCTCTATCGTTCATTACACAAAGGTCTTTTCTGTGGTACGGATTGTTCAGTCATTCCTCTATCGTTCATTACACAAAGGTCTTTTCTGTGGTACGGATTGTTCAGTCATTCCTCTGACGTTCATTACACAAAGGTGTTTTCAGTGGTACGGATTGTTCAGTCATTCCTCTATCGTTCATTACACAAAGGTCTTTTCTGTGGTACGGATTGTTCAGTCATTCCTCTATCGTTCATTACACAAGGTCTTTTTCTGTGGTACGGATTGTTCAGTCATTCCTCTATCGTTCATTACACAAGGTCTTTTCTGTGGTACGGATTGTTCAGTCATTCCTCTGACGTTCATTCAGGTCTTTTCTGTGGTACGGATTGTTCAGTCATTCCTCTATCGTTCATTACAAAGGTCTTTTCTGTGGTACGGATTGTTCAGTCATTCCTCTGACGTTCATTACACAAAGGTGTTTTCAGTGGTACGGATTGTTCAGTCATTCCTCTATCGTACATTACACAAAAGGTGTTTCCTGTAGTACGGAATGTTCAGTCATTCCTGTGGCGTTCTTTACAGAATGGTGTTTGCTGTGCTACAGATTGTTCAGTCATTCCTCTGACGTTCATTACAGAAATATGTTTTCTGTGTTGCGATATGTTCAGTCATTCCTCTGTCATTCTTTACAAATAATTCTAATCGAGGTTCTAGCTTCTCTTAAATCATTTTGGATCTTCCTTAGAGCTACGAATGGTTTCGTTTAGACATTTTTGTCATCTTTTCAGATTTTGGTTTTAATGGGCGATGGAGAAAGCGACACCGAAATCCGAGCACGCATTAGCCTAGCGAAAGATGCTTTCCAAAAGCTAAGCAAGATGCTTAGAAACAGAAAAATCTCGTTAAAAACAAAGAAAAGTTTCTTTCGTTTTTGACGTGTTATCAACACTTTTCAGGTTATTTAAAACCAGAAAATATTTTTTTAGATTTCAAACGTCTATTTTTAGGTAACGGTTTAGATATACAAACCTTTCCGAAGGGTATTTGTGCATAATTGAATATAATGACCCCAACAGAAATTAATACTGGGCTCTCCGATTAACAATTCCGAGCCATTACCCAAGCTTATAGCACTTGGTATTCTCAAGCGGCCACCCATCAAGCTACTGACCAGTCTCGACGTTGCTTAACTTCGGTGATTGTACGAGAACCGGTTAATCAACGTGATGTGGCCGTGAATCTTGAAGGGAAAGAGTGTAGATTGCTATGTGATATCAATCCTCTTACATGGCAGTGAATGCTGGACAATATCCCCACAGATGAAGAGAAACTTGGAGGCAATAAGAATATGGTTCTACAGAAGGATACTGAGAATTCCGTGGACTGAGCGAGTAAGGAACGAGCAAGTCTTCAAGAAAATTGTAACGAAAAGAACAGTTATATTCAGAATTAGAAAAAGACAGCTGAAAATCCTTGAACACATAATGAGGAAGGAGGGCTTGGAAAACTTAATCCTCACGGGACATATTAAGGACAGAAGAGATAGTGGAAGAGAGATATCTACCTGACGAGCTTGTGTGAATGGATGGCAGAACTGGGTGTGGATCCTTAGCAAAGGGAGAAAAATGTTAAGGGTCACAAAGGAAAGGTAATTTTGGAGAGCTATGATCGTCCATGTCCTTAAGGGATGCGGTACGTAGAAGATATTTCTTCTGTTTTACAGTAATCGATCCAGTCGTATTGTTAGGAATATTTAACGTCTTCCTAATGGCACTGTAGCTCAAACTTTCGTTATTTTTTTTATGTCACGTCTTTCGTTTGTTTGCTTTGTGATCTCGCTTTGTAGTAGTTAAGGGCAACTGTGATAGTATAACAGCTTCGTGACGTGTGGTATGGCTAGCCGCTCGTATCTAAGCGTATGCCTGCTTAATTAGAATGTCCAGATAATCTCTATTGCTCGGGGACGTTTATCCTTCTTCAACGCCTACAGTGCCAATAGACCTTATTTTCATGGAGAGATCGCATACTCTGGCATCATCAATATTTTGAACAAATTTAGTACACTCGGTCACGATGACTTGTAACTATCTACGCTTTCCGAACAGTTCCATTTTTTTCAATTTCATTTACAACGCTTGGGTCATATCAACTGGTGATATGGCTTTTACCAACAGTGCTGTATGCTAGCATGTTATGACCAAGCCGATATTATCAAGAAATCACATTCTTGACAAATCAAACATGGTAAATTTAGAATCCGAGTTGGAATGTTAACATTTTAACGCCCCGTCTATACCCTCATGACGTAAGGAAATGCTAAAAATTTTCTATGCAGGTACAGAAGTTCCTAATAATGTCTAGATACTTTTTCGAATTTACATTTCGTTATATTTTAATCTCTATTGTATGTTTGAAAATATGTATTTGTTTCTTTATAATTGCTAATTTTATATCAAAATACATCACCTGCGTAAATTTCAGATAAATATAAGTATCTGATGTATATTAAGTAGGTACTTTGCAAACGTTCAAAAACTTCTTCCACATCTATTTTTCTATCATCAAATCCACTACACCCTCCCATATCAAGGGTTAGTGTTATAACCATTGGGAAAACCCCCAAATACATCAGAACTTGCACTGTGATCTCTTTAATACTTCCTGTGTTAGAAATCAACGGAAGACTAATTCATTGATAAGAATTGTTCATTTTTTTCCAGTCTCGTTTATTCTCGCGTTAACACTTTTATACGAGACTTTGGAATGCGACCTTTTGGTGTTTAGACTTAGGAATGTGACCTTTGGTGTTTAGACGAAAGGTATGAAAAAAAAAAGAAGTTACTAAATAACATTGAAACCCCCCCACCGATGCAGCATACACCTGGAGAATGCCAAAAATATTGCATTGAATACCACAAAAGCAAAGATCAAGGTCTGCATAATATGTTAAATAATGAAAATACTTAACCTCTGAACTTCAGAAACCTAGCAGAGAAATTAAGAAGAAAACACCATCAAATTTTTGTTTGTATACTTTACTCCTTTGTTGGATAATTAACTGCGGGCGTAATACGTGTTAAGTACATCTCGTGCTAAGAATTGTGGTTGTAGAACAGAGAACGTTGCGTGATCTGCTCTCGACCTAGTTTGTCACGTACCAGATAAGGTGAGTGTAGTACGTGTGTATGAATAATGCAAAGGCGAATTACTATGATGGGCTTTAAACCCTGGCAGGTATACGTTTCTTTTTGTTTGAATTATCAAACCTCTTATGATATACGAAAGAAACACTTGGAATAGATTTTACAAGTCGATAGATTCTCCTAAATCGATTGCCACTATTTGTTGCTATACCGTCGAAAAATATTACTTTTAGAATATTTCCGGCCAAAAACCAGTAAGATCTTGACGATTTTGCTAGAGGGATAAGCAACCGGTTGTCGCTCCTTACTCGTCAGAACTCGATCGAGGAAAATAATTTTTTGTGCACGAGCAGCTAAAAGGAAACATAAAAATCACTGTATCAATATTATGCTGAGATGGGTATATGTTTTTTTAAAGACAATTCTCATTGAATCTCAGCCAACATTCCTTCTGAAGGAAGGTTATTTTGATGAAATGAAAATAGTTTGTAGAATTTAGACGATAATACGATTGTGACCTGCGTAGATGCGAGAACATGTCCTTCCAATTTTGTATAAGGTCTTCTGCGATTGCAGACCTGGCACATTACGGCAGATCGATTTTAGAACCGTTGTATTGCATTTAGTTTGTTGGGGTTTGACATGATAAATAACGAAACAAAATATCTTTTTCCAAATCATTTCCGTTTTTTTGAGGAAACGGGTTTAAAGAATAACTTTAGGTCCAAAATTGTAGCGTTGGGATTTCATTCCAGTGGTCAGTGTAAGCTTTATAGCACAGTCTTAGGAAATTTATAATTTACTGCAGCTTTACAAACTGTATATGGACAGGATATAAGGTACACGCACATTATTATTAAATCATTGTGCCATCAAATATGACCTTCATTTACTTCAAAGCGAAATTATACTGAACTATTTAGCTATAATATTCTGTAATATATTATACAGTGCAGTAGTTTTAGTGGTATTTTTGATAAACAATGCAAATTTAAAACATTTTATCTGATACAGTATTATGGTGTTATATACACTTTTATCTATTTTTGCTTTCATTAATTATGATCCAACAAATCTTATTCATTGAATTGCCTTTTTGTAATGATTTACATTTTTTTTTTACAGTTTTTACTTATCGAATACAATAAAAGATTGCATATTTTGTTTGTTGTCATTCATAATTAGAATTCTGATTTGAATATATTTTCTATTCAATGTATCTAATACAAAAGATATCAACATTATTTGGATTTATTCTTGAAATAGTATAATTTTGAAGTCAGTTTGTGCGCAAAAAATTGTGGAAATTAAGTATTTCTGTAGATTTTTTCAGACAATCTTTAAGATTAAACACTCAATTATTGGTAAAAGCTATGAATTTAATTTTTGGTGTCAGTACTTATGACCTTAAACTCCAGCCTTTGACCCAAGTGCAATGATGATTTTTGTAAAGTGAAAAATCAACCTGCCCGACTGGACACAGAAACATGCTGAGCAGTTCTCTCTAGAGGTACTTGCTCTGAGGAAAGGGATAAATCAATCTCTTCTTCCTCCTACTAAGGGTCAAATAGTAGGATAAAATGGACTCTCTAGCTTTGGGTAGCAACGCGATACTACTCGTCTCCTTCCCCAAGAATCAATCTGTCAATTCAGAGATCATAAAGAAAAGGTAGTGGTGAAGTCATGAATACTTAAGTCCAGGGCATTATATATATATATATATATATATATATATATATATATATATATATATATATATATATATATATATATGTGTGTGTGTGTGTGTGTGTGTGTGCTTCATTTCTGTCATATGGTTAATAATTAATATTTAATAAATATTTATCGTACTGATTATATTGGTTCCTTTTCGTTTGTCCTTGTTTTATTAACTAACCTATCTATTATATATATATATATATATATATATATATGTGTGTGTGTGTGTGTGTGTGTGTGTGTGTGTGGGGTGATTATGTGTGTGTGTGTGTGTGGCCGAGGACAGTAGTGCACAATGGTATCAATCAGAATCGTGTTGTGTATGAAAAACTCAAGAGGATCTTGATATTAAGTTCTCTGAAAAAGTTATAATTTGATTTAACATGTAATGAATGTGGTCGCGTCTAATTAGAGTAGGGCTCAAAAATCATAAAAGACGTCATACACACACAAACACACACAGAAGTCATTTATTATACGTTAGTCGTATTTGGACACCTCGGCGTGATGTAATGGTTAACAAGCTTGTCTCGCTAAAACTGTTACGACTGAATAGTGAGTTCGATCCACACTGGGTGCTCCACACTCTCGGCCGTGTGCCACATCTAAGCTACGCTTAAAAAATCACTATACGTCAACGATTTCAAAAGACGCCAATCGTTGCCACATTTATGCAATAGTATGTAAGACTCTAACAGAAGTAAAAAGCCACATTACTCGAAATCGAGTCGCAGCCATTATCTATCTATCTATCTATCTATCTATCTATCTAGTGGCTCGGATTGAGAAATCGGATAGCCGTGTTCGAATTCCATCCGGGTTAGATGCATTCACTTACGCGAAAGGTATAAATCTATTGTAGGGATGGATTCAGGCTTTCCTCAAGGTCATTTGCTCTAAAGTGAACTCAACAGACTAGGCAGGGATTTGAACTCGACTCACTGATTTCTCTTTCGGCATCGATATCCGTTACACTCACTCACTCACTCATTCACTCACTCAATCACTATCTATCTATCTATCTATCTATCTATCTATCTATCTATCTATCTCATTCTGCTTATATCTCTACATCTGATTCTGTTCGTATCTATCTATCTATCTATCTATCTATCTATCTATCTGCTTATGTCCACGTAGTCTGTTCATGTATATCTATTTATCTGTCATGATGATGGTCATAATCCCAACAAAGTTTGTTTCTACTAAGAAAATACTAAGATGAAATTGATAATTAACAAGATAGACAAATCTGTGGAGAATTCCGAAGATATGATCAAAGTTGGGGAAAATGAAACAATCTAAAAATATTTGAGCAAAAGATTGTTTCTCGGAAAGAAAAGCGAACTTCTTTATCGCAGTAACCCAGAACCAAAAAAACAATAAACAGAAAAAATAAACACAAACAAAACAAAAACAAAGGGTTCTCGGAGTAACTGAATGCCTATTGCGACTTAAACTCTCCTCGGGCATCAAGTGGAACTCATATATATCCATAGCTAAAGATGCTGGGAAAATACCTGTTCCCTGTAGCGTTCTAGTAAATACCAGATTCCTCCTGATATGCTTAACCTAGACAAGAGCCAGATCAGGCCGAGAATGGAATACTCCTGCTCTATCTGGGCTGGCATTACACAGTTTCTAGTATCCAGTTTTGATAGAGGCCAAAACCGTGTACATGGCCTTGTAGGTGATGAAATGTTTTCCCCTTTACGATCCCTTTCCCACAGACGAAATGTTGCAAGTCTCTCACATTTCTACTGCTATTTCCATGGAAAATCTTCAGACGAGCTGCATTCCTTAGCACCCCTAACTCTAACCCTCTCAGCTACGACCTACCACCCCGCGTACATTGAGGCGAATCACTCCCATTCCCTTTGTATTTCTTTAGTAAGGAGAAAGATCCACGCGGATAGCTTTTTTTCCCCCCGAGAAATGTTGCTTCTTGGAACCGACTCCCAGGAGGATGCTTTCCCGACCACTACAATCTTAACTTCTTCAAGTCTAGGGTTAACCGTTATTTCTCTCGGATATCCGCATGAACTCGCGCCTTACCGTTCAAAAATCAAGCGCCTTCAGGAACTTTTGGGCCTTTTATAGAATGAACATAAGTAAAAAGTAAAAAAAATAAATAAAATAAAATTGGACATTGCAACGGATAATTCAGTGTGGACCAGGAGAACATATTTCGTTATTGTAAACAAATAGAAATTTAGATTGTGAAAAGCTGGTAAAAAAAGGTTAAAATTGACAGAGAATTAAAGAAGTTCAGGATTGAGAAAATATATCCATTATTACTGGAGAACTTGGAATAGACGAGAAAAATGTTTGTAGAGGGATTGGAAAGGCGAATACGAATGAGAAGCGAAATCATTCAAACAACAACATTATTAAAAACAAAAACATACTTTAGTTTTGAAAGAACTTGCTGTCACTTGATCTCTAGTGAAATTAAAGTTACTTCTTTTTGTGTTATCTCACTTTAGGATGTGGGCGATCATCGCTCTTCCACTATTTCCTATCCTTGGTAGCTCTTCGTAAATTTTGTCTTTTTGCTATCTCTCCTAAACCTTTTTCTGCCAACCATTTACACAATTTTCTTCTTTTTTTGTGCCATTTCGTCACTCTTCTGAATGTGGATGATGAAAGCTCTCCACAAAAAATAGCTCTTAGTAAATTTTGTATTTTGCATTATCTCCTATAACTAACCATTTCCACAAGGTAGGTTATGCGCCGATTTCCTCTGTTCCTCTTGCTTTTAATATGACTTGTGAGTAACTTTTTAAGACTCTTTCCCCATTATGTGCCCTTGAAGATTCAATTGTCTCTTCATGATGTTCTTAAGTGTCCAAAAAATTTCTCTAAAACTTCGGCATTGCTCACACGTTCAGCACATGGCATTCTCAGAATCCTTCTGTAGAACCGCATTACTGTTACTTGAAGTCTCTTTTTCATCTGCATAACATTTATTGCGATATAGCAGTTAAGTACTCTTTTCTTTGTTTTCTAACGATGTTTTTCTATTTCTTGCTTTTTGGAAGGCATCTTTTTTGTTATCCCAATTGAGAACGATGTCGCAATTTCTATCCTCTTCAAGATATTTAAATTTTTTGTACTTGTTAGATTTTGGTCTCTGTTGAAACTTGACTAATGCATGAAATAATAATGCAACACAAAATGTACTTAGAACAAAATGTATTGAAACTAGAAAGTGTACACAATATTTACATATAGTCTTTTGTATATTCCTGGTAAGACCGTTCCTGGAGAATGTGTTGACTGAGTCGCAGTCGGGCAGAGTCTCTGGTTGAATCTCTTGATTCTTCCCTCTCTTTCCGGTACCAACCATATTTATATGGTCGGTACTCCACTATGCAAATTAGGTGGATCCTACCACAACAGTCTCTTCAATTTGTAATTTGCATCTCGGGTCGTTCCTTTTGCTGTCAACTATGCATTCTGTCTTCTTGCAAATGATGTTTAGTTCTTTCTTCCTGCTTTCCTTTACTACTTTCTGTAGGTGTTCTTGTAGTTTCCTTTCTGTGTTTCTTATGTTAAGATTGTGGCCATTGATAATGTATCTTTGTAGGACTTCTAATTCTCTCAGAATCCCTTCACTGTATATAGGTTGAATAAGTCCGTTCAAAAAATATTTTCCCATATGGAGCAGCTACTTTTTTCTGTCTTTGTATATTTACTGAATTCATTAATGAGTAACATTAATAAAAATACTAACAAGAATGAAAGAATGGAGGAGAAGAAAAAAACGAAATGACACTGAGCGGGAGCTAAAGATTCTTTAGGATATGGAGGTAAGAATCATAGCTGTATGGTTGACACATTTGGAGACACACGAAATCTTTAAAGTCGAAATAGTTGATTTAGAAATTGAAGGAACTGAGACTCATTAGACGACAGCAATGCCGAGTATTTGAGAATACTAAGCAATGTACTGGAAATTTAAAGAGAGTTTCTTTCACTCAACGTCCATTGATAATTTTAATTATTTGATATTTTTTTGAAACAGAAATTTGGCATAGAATTGGAACTGTTCAGACATTGGCAATGCTGGTGAATGCGAGGATGCCGAGAAAGATGGCGGAGATAAGAAAAGAATAGTGCTACTCGATCTCCTGTAATAACACATCTGGTGTGAATACACAAATGTATGTCGTAAATACTGACAAAGAATCGAGCCTGTTTAGATTGCAGTGAAGATACTGCGAAATACGTTGGGCTTGTAAAGAGAATGACTGTCACTCATTCTTCTTGTGTGAAAGGACAAAAATAACGTTAATATATAACGATTTTATCGCATTTCCAAAATTTTACACACAGTCTATTATTAAACATTCATTTTTTCTTGCCATTGTTTTGAAGCCAAATTCAACCCAATTGTCATGTTATGAAACACGCCAACCGGATTATGATAAAAGAGGGAATGTTCTATATTTTCCGTCCGAGCGGCGTCTTTGGCTATTGTCATTTGTTAATTACTCTAATTACATAAACATTTCCTTTCTAAGGCTAATGTGCCGAGTGCGTCAGGGCTTTTGTCTCTGCAGATTTCTTCTATATGGGGAGCATTCATGAAATGACCTTTTGTCTTTACTTGCGAAATCTGGCTAATTCAACACTCACATATTTGTTTATCAGGCAGTTTCGTGTATAAAAAACACCTTAGAAAACATTTTAGAGGTACAGTTAAATTGTAGAAAGGTGTTTTTTGATGAATAAATATCTGAAGATTGAGTATTTTTTTAAAAATCGGTATCACCCTCAACAAAGCAGTAGAGTCACTAACACGCAAGGGGTTACAAGGTATGGAGGAATTATGAACAGAAACATTAATAATGAGTAGAAAGAGCAGTCAGGAGGACAGTAGATAGTGATTGACATTGCATTTAAATGTTTGCAGATTAAAACTGACTGGAAAATATGGAACCAGAAGGGAGTTCCACAAGCGAGAATTGCGAGAAAAAACCTTTTAACATATAACTTACGGTTACATGTAGCCAGCTCAGCTATAAATTAATGAGATCTCGTCAATAGTATAGTACTGCGCTTAAATAACAAAATCTAGATACCGTAGCGAGGAGCTCATCCGAACAATTATCATGAAAGTATTTATAAAAAATACATAGAGAGGTATTGGCTGAAAGTGGCTGAAGCCGAGCTACATCAGAACCAATAATATTGCTGATTTTTCTTTGGCTACTATCAAGGAGCTCCAAGTAAATAGCAGAGCACCACACCATATATAGCAGCAATATTCTAAGCATGGACGAATAGTAGACTTATAGATATGCAAGATAGATTCCGGAGAGAAAAACTGTCTCGCACGATACAATGAACCGTCTTTATTAGCAGCTAACTTAATGATGGATTCAAGAGTTAGCGAGATTTCGCAAGCAATCTCTAAAATTGCACCGAGAATCATCTTAATGACTAACGCATGTACACACACACACACACACACGTACACAAACGCGCGCGCACGCAAACATACTCAGACAAAAATGTACATAATTTAAAATGTGAGTATCTGAGAATAGAAGATATCGAGTTATACCTACCTATCCCATCCTTGCGAGACATTCCCCAGCCACCACCAGCGATTCTTTGCTTCTAGTCTTGTAGTAAGAGGTGGGATATAGACCTATTTCTTCATATATCTCCATAGAAAAAAATCACAAGGTGTCAAGTGAAGTGAACGTGGTGGCCATTTTAACAGCACATTGTCATTATCACTGGCTCGCTCGAACTATCTTCCTGGTAGATTCTAATTGAGATAAGTCTGCGAATCGATTATAAAATCTACATCCTTTTGAATAACTTGTTCGAATGTTGATAAATCAATCTCTCATTGTTCAACATGAAGCCTGTTTAATTTCGTTTGTCTGGGACATGTAGTTACTAAGATATTCACACTTTAATTTATACCAATTTTTTCTAGTCACTCTGTACATACATTGTAAAGCGATAACGCCCTGTCTCTGTCTGTCTGTCTCTCTCTCTCTGACTGAATCACCCACCAAATCACTTGCGCTGCGTCATGATTCTCGTCTGCACAAAAAAGCTGGGAAAATCCCATTGTACGTTCACAAGGAAACGAAATATGAAAATACCGCCACAGCGAAAAATGAAAAGGCAAATCCTGTTCCTAATAAAT